GGTCTATTTCAAGATAGATCTGTGCACGGGATACCATCAGCTGAGGATTAGAGAGGCTGATATCCCTAAGACGGTGTTTTGAGTTCATAATTATGCCATTTGAATTGACGAATGCGCTGGAGGCATTCATGGATCTCATGCATACGGTGTTCCAACCCTACTTGGATCAGTTTATCATGGTCTTTGTTAATGACATCCTGATTTACTTCAAGTCTGAGGAGGAGCATGAGAGTCACTTAAGGATTGTTCTTTAGACCTTGAGAGACCACCAATTGTATGCCAAGTTCATCAAGTGTGAATTTTGGCTAACGGAGGTAAAATTTTTGGGGCACGTGGTGTCAGTTTTTGGTGTATCAGTGGACCCGGAGAAAGTTGATGCAGTTATGATTTAGGAGAGGCTAAAGTTAGTCTTTGAGATATGCAATTTTTTGGGATTGGAGGGATATTTTCGGAGGTTCATTGAAGACTTCTCCCACCTAGTTACACCTGATTAGGAAAGAGGTCAAGTTTTAGTGGGATGACTCGTGTGAGTGGGCATTCCAAGAGTTAAAAAGAAGGCTTACTTCAACCCCTATTTTGATAGTTTTGGAGAGGGGATAGAGGTACACAGTATATTGTGATGTCCCTAAGGACGGACATGGATGTGTGTTGATGCAGTGTGAGAGGGTGGTAGCTTATGATTTACGATAGTTGAAGGGCTATGAATAGAACTATCCCACACATGATATGAAGTTGGCGGCCATTGTCTTTGCCCTGAAGGCATGAAGCCACTATCTGTATGGAGAGCAGTTTGAGGTGTTTTTAGACCACAAAAGTCTGAAGTATATCTTCACTCAGCGGGACCTCAACATGAGGTAGTGTAGGTGGATGAAGTACCTAGAAGACTGTAACTTCACTTTACATTACTATCCCGGTAAGACAAATGTAGTGGTTGATGCACTTAGTCGAAAGTCACAGGGAGTCTTGGCTAGTGTAGCTTATTAGGAGTGGAGAATGCTCAAGATTGTAGGACAGTTCGGGCTACACTATGAGGATCAGGCTCTGGGCATTTTGGGAAGTCTAATGGCTATGCCTTCCTTACTGAGCAAGGTGATCGAGTCCTAGGGGCAAGACACAGAGATATTGTCTATTAGGGATCGGGTACAGTTAGGTACAGATGACAAGAGTTGGGCCATTCACATGGATAGTAGTCTTTGATTCAAGGGAAGAATTGTGATTCCCTGGTCTGTGGATTTGAGAGAAGAGATCCTCAGGGAGTTTTATTACTCCCCTTTTGTTATGCATCCTGGTAGCACGAAGATGTACCATGATCTTTGCTACCATTATTACTGGAGCGGGATGAAGAGACACATTGGACACTTTGTTAATAGATGTTTCACGTGTTAGCAGGTCATGGTTGAGCACTAGAGGCTAGCTGGGTTGCTCCAGCCTTTGGAGGTGACTGAGTGGAAGTGAGAACATGTCAGTATGAATTTTGTGACTCACTTTCCATGGACTTTGTGTGGGCATGATGCGGTGTAGGTGATTATGGGCTGACTTACGAAGTCGGCACACTTTTTGGCCATGCAGATGACCTTCACCTGGAGGAATTCTATAGGTTGGACATATGGGAGATAGTCTGGTTACACGGGGTACTCGTCTTATATTATCAGATTGGGATCCCAGGTTTACAGCCCATTTTTGGGAGAGCTTTCAACGGGCTATGGGACACAGTTGATGATGAGTACAACTTTCCATCCCTAGACAGATGGTTTGTCGGAGAAGACCATCTAGACTTTGGAGGATATGCTTTGGGAATGCGTCCTTAATCTCAAGGGTAGCTGGAGGAGCACTTACCCTTAGTGGAGTTCACCTACGATAATAAGTACCAGGTGAGCATGTAGATGACACCCTATGAGGTGATATGGGAGCGTGATGACACTATCTATGCCAGTTATCTATTCTTGTTTGAGGATGAAGGTACTTTATTGTAGTCATAAAGTGTTATATGACTTGTTGCATATGCATGTGATTGTATGTGCATGCGTGTGTGAATTTTGGGAATGAAATTTCTTTGAAGGGGGAAAGAATGTAAAACCAAGAAAAATTTAAAATTTTATTGTGAAGGGTAAAATGGTAATTAGCCATTACAGTACGGGATGAAAACCCAAATTTTTCTAGAATTCAGATGACAAAACGGATCTCTTCGTTTGATTGATCTCACGAAATCTAGTTACCCAGTCAATTTTCGTTAGATTTTGAGACAGTTAGATTTTTTACTTTTTACGATGTGATCGGGCATCGACTAAAATAAAAGCAATCGGATTTTAACTGCAAAAAATTAAAAATAATTTAAATTTAGTTTAAATAAAATATATTAAACTTAAAAAGGGGCGATAAATAATTGATTTGTGACAAAATCATATCAGAAAAAGATGGAACGTGTGGCTCAATGAGAGCCAAGCAAATGGGTGTATAAATAGGGGAGGAAAATCAAATTTTTCTTCCCATTTACACAACCATTTCTTGATAGAGAGAGAGAGAGAAAATCAAGGGATCTCCAACTTTCTTTTCCGATCTAGGGTGATCCGTCCTTCATATTCTTCGGGCCAAGAACAAAACTTGTTCTACGCGACTAGAGCTCCGACTACATACCAAAGATAGCAGATTTCAACAAAGTCTCTAGAATGGGATTGTTGGGATCAAGTCCTTGAAGCTTGATTTAGGGTATTTTGAAGTTTCTACTACGCGGTATTACACTTCAGAAGGTAGGGTTCATTACTTATCTAGGTTTATTTTCAACATAGAGTTGTATATGAAATTGGTAGCATGATTAGAGATGAAATCTCTTGTTTAATATACACCTAGTGTAACTAGAGTTTGGTAAATGGTGTAAGAATGTGTAGAATCAATTCTAGCATGAATTGAGTATGTTAAAATTGCTTGTTTGTAATTTCATGAAGGAATGTGTTAATTTGGGCATGCTATGTGTTTACATAATTTTTATGCCTTATAGGTGTTTGACAAAATTCATAGGAATGACTTAAGTACGTTATTTGAATGAGAATGATACAACATGCTTCGTATAGTTTTGAATTGTGATTATATGCTTATGATATAATTGACAATTGGTAAATGTTGACTGAGATGAAATATGTTCATAATATGTTGAATATGATATGATTATTGCAATTGTATATTACATTTGCATATGAATGGGAAATATCACATTCGTGGGCATGTGACATGTGTGGGTGTGTGTGCATGATTTTATCAAATGCTATCCTTGGTGGGTAGATACTTAGGCTCGAGAAAGTTGGACCTAGGTGTAATAAGTCGCACGGGTTGCATTGAAAACAAGGGTTGAGGTTAGCAAGATGGGCTAGATTCTCCCTTGGGTGCAAGACCCTGTAAATTTTGGACACGCACTTCCATTGGTATTGAGTCCATAAAGTGTCTCGGCCTACGCGGAGCCGTTGGTGGAAGTCCATAGATGCCTTATCGATTGAGTGCCCGTTGATGGGAATCCATAAATACGCACCCCAAGAAAGACTCAAAATTTTGTAAATTGTTCATTGGATGTTCAACATCAATGGCGGGGGTTTAGAATACTCGGATGTATACACTTGGTATTTCATGTATTATGGGAGCCAATGGAGGGCCCGAGTTGCATTGCATGTGTGAATATCATCTCATGACATGAAATGACATTGTGAAATCCATTTATGAATTGCATATTCTTGAATGGATGTTTGATGGATTATTAAATTACATGTGACCATTTTATATGCATTTGGGTTAGGGAGTAGCCTTTTTAGGAGATGCCCTATTGAGCATGGCTCACCCTTTATGGTAACAACATTTCAAGTGCGGGACAAACACTGGTGGACGGCTCATACTTGGGCCCTTGTTGAGAAGAAGCCGAAATGTGACTTTTAGATTACATTTTTGTAGCCAATTGTGTAATTTGTTTTGGACTTGTAAAATTGTATAAAGGGTTGTGTAATGAACTCTTATGGGCTATAAATTGTTTATATGAATGTATGAATTAGTATGGAATGGGTTTGAATGGCCAATGGTTGAAGATTGGAAAGATTTGGGGAAAATCTAGGTCCATGTACCAGTACCTAAGTGATTAAGTACCGGTACCACACTGCTGAATGGCCCAAGTATAGGTATCTAGACTTAAGGGTACTAGTACTAGGATTCCAGTGGGCTTTGATACCTGTACCAAGGCTCAAATTATTGGAACCTCAGGGACAATGGGCTCAAATGCTAGTACCACAACATATAGGTACTGGTACCTAGCAAACAGTGGACTCAGGTACTAGTACCTAAGTGTTTAATTACCGGTACCTGGCAATTGGAAGGGATCTAGTAGACAGAAGGCTCAGGTACCGATACCATGTGTAAGAGGTACCGGTATCAATTCCAAAATTAAAAAAGAAAAAAATTTAAATATAACTCTGCCAAGCCTTTGGATCTTGTACCCTCTTGTTGGGATGATGTAATTGGTCAAACATTAATTCATTGATGGGGAAGGACCTTTAAATGGTCAAGTGGTTGATATGAGCACAAATTATACATTTGGGTGTGCTCTGGTACAAGGGAGACTTTGCCCAAACTCTGAATGGGTTACTATCCTGGTGAAGGGAATATGATGACGTTATGCTGGGTTATGCAACATTCACGGGTACTTCCATGGGTTAATGGGTGATCAACAAGTTGAGAAAGAACTCCCGATTTTGGGGTGTCACAAGAGGAAGAAGAGGTTGAGGTAAAATTGGAAGTCGGAATTGATCGTTATTCTGAGTATTCTGAGGCCACTGGCTCAAACCAAGGACAAACTTGGCCAGACTTTGACATTTTTTGGATTGTAAACAAGCCTGGGGATTTGAAGTCCATGGTTACCTTTTATCAGTCATCATGTTTGGGACTAGCGGGTATGATCTTGAGTATTTAGTAATGCCAATAACCACATCCACCTCCCCCTACCCCAACTAAGCTAATACCTCCTCAAGATAGTCACCAAGGAAGGGAAGGTGATGCTACCGAGAAGGGAAGGGTCAAAAAATGTAGGGGACCTCCCTCCCAAAGGCAACTTACTCATCCTCATCAATCGAAATCGCCCTTGCGTGATGAAGCTCTGCAGCTACCATCTTTACTTCGCCCAACGGATCTATCTCTAGAATGGGCTCTATGGGGGATAACAAGGAGATGTCGTGCAGCCTTGAATTCTAACTCTAGTTTTGACTTCCACCGACTTGGGTAAATATCCTGTACCCACCAATAGGAACCTCTTGTTCGTCTAGGCCTTTAATAGGAACCTCTTGGTTAATGGTTTTAACCGACAATGGTTGTGGTGGTTTCCTTGTTCTACATCAATATCAAGGGATAACAAATCGACAGGAAGGAGCACTAGACGGTCGAAATCTCCATGGGTTTAATGCTTATGATTCTCTAGGTTTTGTGTTGGAAATGGTGGTGACTATTGTGGTAATATTGGTAAGTTGTAGTTGAGATAAGATTGGGAAGTAGAGAAAGTAACGCATTTCACCAATTCAGTATCATGTGCCTGAAACAACGAACATCCCTTTGAATCTCTCGTTGCTTCATCCTAATCTCCTGATGCTCCTTCTGTATGCTAGTCATGCTTTCATCAATAGCATCCATACGGAGTGTAGAAAGACTATGCTATTGATCAATAATTGGTTTGACCTATTTCGTGACCTACTTTAAATCATACAACAAAGTATAAGTGGTCGAATTATAGTTTTCTCGGTTAAGTCCAAGATTAATCCCATAAAGAGTTTTAATAATTGGAATTTAAAATAAGAACAATGAGGTTATTGTTAAAGCAGTGTAACATGAGATAGCTTGTGGTGTGAGCTTAGATTGATAACTAGACTAAATAAATGAAATGTGTAGGTAAACTGTTAAAAGACAATAATATGAAAAGTACCCTTCAGTTTAAGGATCCCATATGCTTTATATTGGTTAAGTACTGAAAATGCCACCTTACAACAATTAGCTTCCAGGTTACTAGAAGTTCAATCGGTAGGTCTGATGTATATAAACCATAACACAACAACTGTTTAGGTTAACTGGTGGTACATGTGACAATTGACTAATCCAAGTAAATCAGAAGGTCAAGCCATTCAAGAGGATCACTTAAATTACTCAATTGACAATACTATATTATGTATTAGTTAAACAACTCTAGTAATCAAGAAGGTTAAGCCATTAAGGAGGATCACTTAGGTTATTCATCTGACAACTTCGTACCATGCAACAGTTAAACATCCTTAGTGCACCAGAAGGTCAAGCCATTCAGTTGGAACATCGTAGATATTCAATTGGCAAGTATTGAACTGAAAGTATTGGCTATGCTGAGACATAACCCGTCTATAACCACTCAATCGAATTTTACATAACACCCAATTATGTACATCACTGCATCATGCATGAAGTATATAACAGTAGATAGTATGGTATAGAATATTAAATGCCGCTCAGTGTTCATAACCGTGAGCATAACATAAATATAACCATCCATCAATTAAGGGAGGTATATACAATAAAGTATAATAAAACATCAACATTTCCATAACTTAACCAATAATATACATATGCTTACCCCTCATTGAAGGGTATAAGTAAAATACTCACACTCCATTGCTATAGACAAGCAAGAAGTGCGGGTAAGTTTCATTACAACAAAAAAAAAATATGGACACTCCTTCCCCAAGGAATAATTGAAATATAACCACTCTTAATATCGGTTAAGACACAAAGGTGGCGGAAGTTCAATTCTCCAAGTAAAAAGGCATAACAGAAATGTATAAATAACAGATTTCTGGTTGGAGAGTAGGTCGGGCAGGGTTTCACTCTGTGTTTCTTCTTTTCTTTCCTTTTCTTTTCCTTCCTCTCCTTTGGATTTTCTCTGGAGCTCCCTTTCTTCCCCAGCTCTCCTTCTCTCGATGAAGAAGGTTGCAAGGGCCTATTTATAGGCCAAGGAGGAAGTTGGAGGTGGCATATAATGTTGAACTGCCTTAAAGGATCATCCGGATGCAACCACCATTGTTCGGNAGGGCAAGGAGGAAGTTAGAGGTGGCAGATAATGTTGAACTGCCTTAAAGGATCATCTGGATGCAACTACCATTGTTCAGACGGTGTTGGTTTGCTGGAATTGTGGTGCTGATCTTCTCCTTGTTTTGGTGGTTTCTTGATAATATTATACTTGCCTCCCTTATTGGTTTAAGCTTTGACAGATTGCTCCTCTCAATTTCTGGCAATTCCGTACAAGAATCCTGAAATTTCAGACAGTACACACATAAAACCCGGATTTACACACAAACCATAATTAACAGTTTTTAACTGTTTTGTCTTACAAAATTAACTTTTTTAATTATTCTAATTTTCATACTAATTAGGGTTAATCATACTCCCCAATCTAAACTTTACTAGTCCCTAGTAAAATGAAATAAAATAAAATAAAACAAACTTATTTTTGTAGATTTTCACAATTGCATTAGCATATGCAACAAGCCGTTAAACCCCTAGGTGATCCCTAGTAGACGAGTTTTGTCTTGTGAAGGTTTTTCAGTGAAGTTACCTACAAACTTCAATAGTTAGGAGTTCATAATTCATATTTCTAATAGATAAAATTAAATCACTATTCCTTTGCATGGCTAGAATACTTCCTTCTCTGATGACTATAAGTGTAACACACGTTAATTCTAACATTATCTATACATTTTTAGAAAAACTTGTGTGTGTGGGTAATGATTTCTTTATCTCAAAAATGACTCAGGAAATATTACCATATTTCATGGTGGTTTTTATGTCAATCCTTCCCTGGAATGCACTCAGTAAAGAATACACATATGTTATAGTGACTGTTCACTCAAAAATTACATGTGATTGGAATATTGTTAATAAAGCAAATAGTTTCACATGTAATTAATCAAAAGAGATGTTATTTGAATAGAACTGGAATTTGACATAATCTCATGAAAAGATATTAACACTACATTAAACATATTATCAACATTCTCCCTCTTTGAATTGATTGGATTAATACACATGCATGATTTCTAGATTAAAAAAGGACTTTGTTAGGGTTGTAATGTGACCATTGGTTTTAGGTTTAAGAAACGAAATCAATGGGATTCAAAAGCTATCCTCTCTTTGTATTGTGGCACACCTCTCTATCCTTTCAAGGCTTTTCACATTATTTCATTTCATTTTTTCAATTTTTTGGCTCTTTTCTTTCTTTCTTTTTCCTTTGAATTTCTTTTACAGATTTTTAAGTAATCATCTTTTTCTTTTCTTTTCTTGTTTTCTACCTTTTCTTCTTCTTCTTCGTCTTCTTCTTCTGCTTTTTTGTATCCTAATGATTTAAAACAAGGTGCAAGAAACTAGATAGCAAAGGTAGGTTAAATATATTTTTATGTGACTCAGGTAATTTTCAGGTTTCATGAAAAGAATTTATATTAAGTTAGGTTCAATCATGGCTAACTAAGGATATAATTTTGTAAAAGAAATGGTTAAGGCTCAAGATTAATCAAAAATGACCTAAAATTTGTAACACCCCACCCTCCACATGGTATAATAATGTCCGCTTTGGGCCCACTGGCCCTCACGACTTTGTTCTTCCTAGTACCCCTGGGAAAATGCCTTATGCTATATAAGGTAAGGGGCTTACTAATAAGCCTAGTCACTTTCCCCTCCCTAACCGATGTGGGACACCAGAATCTCACAATCCACCCCTCTTAGGGCTACATGTCCCCATGCAGCAGCTCGCCAGCTACCTGCCTGCCCACTACACGCGAGCACGTCAGGGGCCACACTCAATCTAGGCAAGAGTCGGCTCTGATACCAACTTGTAACACCCCACCCTCCACATGACATAATATTGTCCGCTTTGAGCCCACTGGCCCTCACGGCTTTGTTCTTTCCAGTACCCCTGGAAAAAGGTCTTATGCCATGTAAGGCAAGGGGCTTACTAATAAGCCTAGTCACTTTCCCCTCCCTAACCGATGTGGGACACCAGGATCTCACAATCCACCCTTCTTAGGGCTACATGTCCCCGTGCAGCAGCTCGCCAGCTACCTGCCCGCCCACTACACGCGAGCACGTCAGGGGCCCACACTCGATCTAGGCAAGAGTCGGCTCTGATACCAACTTGTAACACCCCACCCTCCACATGACATAATATTGTCCGCTTTGGGCCCACTGGCCCTCACGGCTTTGTTCTTCCCAGTACCCCTGGGAAAAGGCCTTATGTCATATAAGGCAAGGGGCTTACTAATAAACCCAATCACTTTTTCATCCCTAACTGATGTGGGATACCAGGATCTCACAGTACCGGTACGGTAAAACTTCTGGATATCGGGGTACCGGTANGTCAACCCGCGAAAATACCCGTGAGTGCCGCACAATCCGACATCACGTCATTAATATCCCTTTAACCAGGATTATAACCCACAAGTGTAACCCGTGTATGTTTTATCATTTAATTCAACCGTGGTTCAAAGTACCACAATTCATGCCTCTTTATTGTCCAATTACATCATTTGAACCAAGGGAATCAAAGGTTGAGAGCATAGCACTTTAGTTTTAAATTTTCAAATTTTTGGAAACAGTACTGGTACTGTGTACCAATACGGTTTGCCTTCTAGAAAAACTATACCGGTACATAGTACCGGTACTCTCTTCCCTTTGGACATACTGTATCGGTACACAGTACCGGTACTCTCTGCCCAGTTTTGCCTGTCTCGCCCATTTTCGGTTTCCAATTCNCCCTTCCAAAACCAACCCAAACTTATACAACATACATTTGAACATCAAACATAGTTGGTAAAAGTTCGATCACAAAAGATTTCATATATTTACCCGATTTTTACACTATTAACATTTTCTACGGTTATAACCTATATAATTTATTCCTACGCCATCACATATATTAAATTACTAAAAAATTTTATCATTATATTACTATAAACATGTGGAGGTTTACACTGGTATAGTTGGACATTCTATTGCAGGATGTCCTGACAATGCACAAATTTCACATATTTGATTAGTAGAAGACACAACAAACACTTGCTTAATTTTTTTTCATTTCTAATGCTTCAAGCTTTCGGGATAAATTAGCTATTTGGGCTCTTAAATCATCATCTTCTTTTAACACATACTTTCTCCTTTCAGATGTAGATGACTTAGTTTCCAATATATTTGAAGAAGTCGAGTCCCACATCTGGGAA